GTAGAGTGCTTGCCTTGAACAAAAGAAACTCAGGGATAGTACCCAGGCCCTGAGTTCAAGCCCCAGGACTGACAAAAAAAATTTTTTTAAACAATGGATTCAAGGATGTTTAACTTGTCACTTCCCTTACTAATACTTACTGCTCTTTCCTATCTTTCCTATCAAATCCCATAGAATGAAACATCAAGCTCATCCTTGGCAGTATCTGTAGAAGAGTAATAAAGGGACTACTTACTCTTCAGGAAGGCTGAGAGCCAGCGGTGGCTCCCATCTATAATCCTAGCTACACAGGAGGCTGAGATCTGACCATCAAGATCCTAAGCCAGCAGAGGCAGGAGAGAAAACTCTTATCACCAATTAACCACCAAAAATCCCAAAGTGATGGTATGACTGGAATGATAGCCAGACTTGAGTTTAGAAAGCTGAGTCAGCACCCAGGCCCTGAGTTCAAGCCTCAGTATTGACAAAAAAAAAAAAAGCTGAAAAAAAAATATGATAAGGGGATCAAGAAGAGTCCATGAAGCCTCAGTAGAAACAAGAGAAGAATTCAGACTTAGTATCAGAAGAGGCTAGGGACTAGGGCTAAGCCGAAGACTTTTGTGGGCAGCTGGTAAACTATAAGAACTAGAGCTCAATTGCTCACTAGGGCTTGGAACATCTATTTGGGTTTTGTTTTTTGTTGTTTTTTTTTTTTTTTTTGGGTCCGGTCGTGGGCGTGAACTCTGAGCCTGGGCGCTGTCCCTCAGCTCTTCAGCTCAAGGCTAGCGCTCTACCACGTGAGTCACAGCACCACTTCCAGCTTTTTTTCTGCATATGTGGTACTGAGGAATCGAACCCAGGGCCTCACGCATGCAAGACAAGCACTCTACCATTGAGCCACCTTCCCAGCCTGGAACATCTATTTGGAAGCCAGCAGAGAACGGTGAGATCACACAAAGCTTTTCATTCACTCCTCTGTCTCGGTCCATACTTCTCTTTCAGAGAAATGGAGTCAGATTGATTTAGTGCTGGTACTGGGGCTTGACCTCAGGGCCCTATGCTCTCGTTTGACTTTGCACACAAGGCCATTTGAGCCATACCTCCACTTCCAGCTTTTTGCTGTTTAATTGGAGGTAAGAGTCTCACAGACTTGGATCAGGTGGTAGCGCACCAGCCATGACTGAAAGTAGTAGATACCAAGTTCAAGTCCCAGTCTCAGGGGAGGAGGGAGGGGGCAGGGAGAGATGGAGGGAGAGAGAGACAGAGACAGAGAGAAACAGAAAGAGACACAGACTTTTCTGCCCAGGCTGGCTTCAAACCACAATCTTCAGATCTCAGCCTCCTGAGTTGCTAGGATTATAGGTATGAGTCATCATCAACCTGGCTGAGTCAGCTTAAGAGCTTTCATTTTGATTAAGAGGAAAGGAAAAAGAGTGAAAACATCATGAGGGTGTGGAAAGTCATGTTTAGTAGTTGTAGCATTGGGGAATTTACTAGCCAGTTCAAATGGATAATTTCACTTAATCTTACAATTCCACAAAGCATACAGGGCTTATCATTCCTTGTGTGTGTGTGGGGGGGGTGTATTTAACAGTTCCAATACCTGAACTCAGGTCCTTATGTTCTCACTGGGCTTTTTTCCTCATAGTTGATGCTCTACCACTTGAGCCAAATGTGCCACAAAAGTTACTCCAAGTAGGGGGCTGGAAAGGTGGCTAAGTGGCAGAGTGCTTGCCTTGCATGCTTGAGGCCCTGGGTTCAATTCTTCACCACCACATAAGCAGAAAAAGCCAGAAGTGGCTGGCGCTGTGGCTCAAGTGGTAAAGCACTAGCCTTGAGCTAAAGGGCTGAGGCCCCATGACTGACAAAATTTAAAAAAAGGTACTCCAAGTTACCTAGACGCTAGTGGTTTTACACATATTAGTAATTTATTAAAGTAATTTAATTCCACAGATGTTTACTGAAAGTAAATGTTTGCTTGGGCTTGCCTACGGCAGGCCCAGTGGGTGGACACAGATGAATCAGACCCAACCTCAAAGGATTCACAGTCAGTAAGCTAGACAGACATTAGACACAGATACAATTTACTACTGTACAAAGCACAATGACTTAAGTGATATTAAAGGACTATGAGCAATATGCTCTATGCATAAACCTTAATGACTTAATTATTATTCTCCACTGTATATCATCGAAGGTCAGAGCTCAAAGGTATCATCTAGTTTAATCCTTGTTTTTCACTGGAAGAAGCTGAGACCCAGAGACAGTCCTAGGATCTAGCGTAAGATCTTACTAGTCTAACTGGCTGAGCCAAGACTAGACTCCTGAAGCTCAGCCCTGGGCTTTTTCCTCCTATGGTAGCTTCATGTGCAACAGTCCCCTAACCCACTAAAACCTTGAGATCCTGGAGTAGTTCTTCCTCCTGAACTAGGGGGATGGGGGAGTCAAGCCTATGACAGAGGCTCAGAAATTACATTCTAACCTTAGACTGCCAATCCATTCCATCTTTCCTTCCTGATGGGATTACAGGTGGATATCACAAAGTATACACTACTCTCACTGCTATGACCCCTACATGGATTTTTCATATACAAATATATTCACATATATATGCTTAAATCTTATTGTTTTCAGTGCTAGTACACAGCCTTGTATGTGCTAGATTACTGAGTTACATCTCCTGCTTGACTTTCAAATACTTGTTTGAGGAAAAAAAATTGTCATGAGCTCTTTAATCAAGACACCAGGACACTAGATAAAGGGGAAAAAGTCCAGAGCCTATTATTTTCCTCCCTATTTTCCTATTATTTTCTTGAGAAAGAAATGCTAAAGGAGGGGGCTGGGAAGGTGGCTCAGTGGTAAAGTGCTTGCCTTGCATGCATGAGGCCCTGAGTTCGATTCCTCAGCACCACATAAGCAGAAAGAGCTGGAAGTGACTCTGTGGCATAAATGGTAGAGCGCTAGCCTTGAGCTGAAGAGCTGAGGGACAGTGCCCAGGCCCAGAGTTCAGGCCCCAGGACTGGCAAAAAAAAAAAAAAAAGAAAAGAAAAGAAAAAAAGAAATGCTAAAGGATACAAGTCCTGAGAAGGACTGTAAGGAACACAAACTCAAAACTCTTTGAGTGAAGCTGGGTACTGGTGGCTCATGCCTATAATCCTAGCTATTCAGGAGGCTGAGATCTGAGGATCAAGGTTCAAAGCCAGCAGAGGCAAGAAAGCCAAGAGCCTCTTATGTCTAATTAACTACCAGAAAACCGGACATGGTGCTGTGAGTCAAGTGCTACAGCACTAGCCTTGAGCTCCTCAGGGACAGCCCCCAGGCCCAGAGTTCAAGCCCCACAACTGACAAAACAACGAACAATAACAACAAAATAAGACCAACTCCTTTAGCCAGCATGGTGGTATATATACCGGTAGCACAGCTATTTGGGAGGCTGAATAGGGAGAATCACTTGAGCCCAGGAGATGAAAAACAGCCTGGGTTGGGTAGCTGTACACTCCCATCTAAAAAATAACAACAAAACACCCTAACTTTGTTGTAAGACATAATTTTTAATGGTTTCATAGAAGCCACTTAACTGTGTGGTCCACGTCTGAGCCCTTGTTATTTTATGGGACTTACAATCTTCTCTTCATTAAACACCAACACTAAGTCCATAAAAGGTCCCTCTTGTTCTTCCTGTCTTCCTTTTCCCCCAGGGAGGAGTGTGAAGGGTTTTAAAGACCAGAATGAGAGAGCAGCCCACAGGCTGCTTGGGAGGGGAGAAGGCTCCGGAAGAATGCCTTCATCTACGCAGCTTGCATCTGATCCAGCCTTTAACTGCACTTTCTTTACACTGGCAACACACTGACCACCCTCAGACGGAGAAGGTATGATTATTACCCAGGACAGAACGGCTCAATTATGTAGGAATGGATCTTCATCTTTATGTAGAAAACTTCTAGAAGACAGGGACCCTTGTCTTAAATAAGTTTTGTGGGTGTTTGGTTGCTTTCCCCCCTCCTCCCCCCTTTCCTCCACTGCACCTAGCACGGAGCTCTGCACGTGGTTGGCGCTCACTCAGAAAGTTCGTGCAGTACCCAGGATGTGAATTGTCAAGTCAAAACTCCGCGCGCCAGGAAGGCCGGGGCTCAGAGGCGGCAGAGGGCGCCCACGAGGCCGCCCGCCCGCCCGCCCGTCCCCGGGGCCCAAGCCGGACCTCAGGCCTGGGTGCGGCCCTCCTGCTCCAAACATCTGCCCGCCCGGACATCGAAGATAGGGACCACGAGCGAGGACAGCCCCCCCCCACCCCCCGGCCTCGGTCCGCCTCGTCCCCTCCCCCGAAGAGCGCCGAGTCGCGGGGTGCGGAACCACGACGTGACATCCTGTTTTTGGGGCTCGCGGCTCCGCCTGCGCCTCTGGCTGATCAAGCGCTGACGACAGCTCCCCTGCCCCCCCCAGCCTCCCCAGGGGTCTGAGACCTACCCGTTGCTGAATCACACTCCCCCCCACACACACACACTTCTACCAGCGCTCCCCGGGGATTGGGGACTGCCCCGGCCTGACCCAGGACGAACGTCCCCTTTCCCTGGCCAGCCGCGGCCACCGCTGGGGCTCGGCGGCAGACACCCAGGCCTAGGGACCGGCCTTTCTCTGCCTTTCCCGCGGAGGTTGGTGGGGTGAGATCCAGAGGACGAGGACAAACGTCCAGTGCCCAGTTTAAGGCCCGGGCTGGAGGCAGGATGGCCAGGCGGAGGCGGGGAGATCTGACCTTGAGAGGCCCGATCTGAAGGATCCCCGGGGCCGCCCGGCGCGGGGTGAGGTGGTGGGAGGGGAAGGGGGAAGCGGGGAGCACAGGACTTTTGTTTGAAGACTTGGGGGGGGGGGCGGGCGAAGCCTGCAGAAGGGGCCGGGGCGGAGAGTGGCGGGGAGCGCGCCCGCCGACTTCCTGGTTGCGCCCCGCCCCGGCCCGCCTCCGCACCCCGCCCCCCCACCCCCCCACTTCCTCCAGCCTCCCGCTCTCACTTCCTTCTCGAGCCCGGAGCTGCTGCCGCCGCCCCCAGCTCCCCCGCCGCGGGGAGGGCTCCAGGTGAGGCCCGGCCACGGCGGGCGGCAGGCAGGGGTTGGGGGGGTCTGGCGGAGAGCAGTCCGACCCACCGGGGATCGGGAGCCGAGCGCGGGCCGGGAAGCTCGCTTGCCGGAGGCCGCGGGGCGGGAGGGTTTTGCTCCCCCCCCACACTCATCGAGCGGGCGCGGCCGGCCCGGCGGGCGGGCGGGGCGGAGATGGGGCGGCTCGGAGAGTCGGGGGGTCCTGGCGCCTTGTCGAGGGGTCCCGTGACCGCAGAGGGACCCCTAAAGTTGGAGCCTGGAGAAGGGTCTTTAAAAGTGGGAAGGCTCGGAGCTGGGAGCTGGGGCTCCAAGGCGGGGTGCCCTAAAGTTGAGTGTGTGGTTGGGGGGGTGTTCATTAGTGGGTGAGGGGAGCGGGCCTTTGGGCTGGAGGGGGCGCCCCGCGGTACTGACATTTGCTAGGCTGGGAAGGGGGCGATGTCTGGGGTTTGGGGGGAATTTGTTGTTGTTGTTTTTTAACCTTTTCCTGGGAGATCGATGTCAAACCTCCCAGGCTGCCACCCCAAGGGTCCCTGGCAATCCGGAGGACTCGGTGGGGAGCGCTGCCAACCTGCCTCCTCCTCGGGAGTGTCTGTTTTTATGAGCTCCAACCTCTTCATCTCTGGAAGCCAAGCAACAGGTATTTAGTGCCTCACTGACCTGAGCCTGGCCTTGTTCTTTGGGGAGTAAACCAAGGAAGGAAAAGGCCTGATCTTGCCTGGTATAAAGGGGTTGGAGGGACTCACGTAGAGATATTGAGAGTTACAGGGCTTTGGGGGAGGCCCCAGAGGCTCTGGCCTCCTGGAAGGACTTGACAGCCATCTCCTACTGTTTTCTCTCCTGTTCAGTGACAGGATTCTACAGATGTCTATCTTGTCTTCCTCCACCCCTTTAATGTCTACCCACTCTCTTCCCTTTCGGTCTGTTTTCCCACCTTCCTTCCCCCCCCCCACCCAAATACACAGACATACCTAGGCCTTGATGGCCTCTCAGTTGTCCCTCTGTTCCTCTTGGTCCCCTGCAGCCTCCTTTTCCCCTGCCTCTGGTGTAGCACACATGCAGCCTCTTCCTTCATCCCTCAGCCTGTCACCTTCTGTCTCCTTCCCTTTCAGCCACTTATCTCCAGCTTTGGGGTCAGAAATTGCTGTAGAAGACTTGGTGAGTTCTGTGTGTGTGTGTGTGTGTGTGTGTGTGTGTGATTTTGTTCTTCTAGTTTGCTTTTTGGAGACAAGGCCTCCATAGCCAAAGCTGGTTTCAGCCTCTTCATCTCCTTTCAGGCTCTCAAGTGCTAGGATTACAGTTGTGAGCCACCACACCTGACTACTTGGGAGTTTGAGAGACTTTTCAAACCTTTCTAGTGTAAAGAGGTAGGCTGCAACTTTAGTGATAGAGATGATTAAAGGGCTGGCAATTTGTGTACATGCATGCAAGAGCATGAACATGCAAGTGCTTGTGTGTCTATATCTTTATCTCTTGGAGACAAAATAGCTGCCCTCAGCTTTGAGAGGGCCCAGAAGCTAACAGAGTGAAAGGGACTTGGAGTGGGTGACTTTGTGGTTAAGTAGGAGGAAACTGTAACAGTCAGGGTAGGGTAAGACAGGAATAAAAGTGATGAGAGAAGCCCTGGAAAATCAAAATTACCCCATTTGGGTGCATGATAAAGAAGAGGCTTTGACTGGGGGCTGGGAGAATAGACTGCAACACCTACTGGTTTCAGTATTGTCTGGTGGTGGGTAGACTAGGCAGAAGAACATTCTGGTGTGGTGAAAGGAAAGACATAGGGCACAGATGGGGATTCGGGAGGGAAGACTGCAGCTGCTCTAACTTTAGTTTTAACCATTTTAATTTTGAATCAGGAAAAGAAAGATAGGAGGTAAAGGTGTCTGTCCCTTTTTCCCTGCCGATTTCTGGGGCTTGTCCAAGCTGGGTACCCACATATTCCTATCTGCTTTAGGGCTTGGGTTACCAGGAAGCCCTCTGCTGACCTTTGTTCCTTCAGGCATCCTTAATATATCCTCTGTCAAGGACCCTCTCTGCTCTCTCTCTGAAACATTTCTCCTAAGTCTAACTTGAGTCTCTCCTGGCTTTTTCAAGTGCTTGTCTACATTCTAGAGCTGCTTCCTCAGGCCTTTGGGCTGCATGCTTAGAGATCTTGTTTCTCTCCACCTCCTGTAACCTCTGTATTCATTCCACTCCACTAGAAAAAAAAAAAGAGAGAGAAGTGGAGGGGACCAAGTGAAACATTTTGGGGATCTCTAAGGCACAGCTAAATTTAAGAGCTATCCTCCTTCATCCTATCCTCTTACCATCTCACAGTTGTTCCTCTCCCATAAATTGTCCCTTCTTCCAATCCTGCCCTTTACTCTTTTCTGGGATGTACAGAGAGAGGTTCAGGCCCAGTAGGAAATCCAAGGGATCTGTATTAAATCCCAGCTCAGGGAATTTGATGTGCATACAAGGCACTTTCCCAGCATCACAGCTCAATAAAAATCCCCAGGAGTCCTGATTCCCAGCCTAGCAAACCTGTACTTATTTTAGTATTCTTTCTGCATAACTAAGCAACCTGCTGAACTCTGAGAGTGAAGATAAAGCAGAAGAAATAGATTTTTTTTCCTAGGCTTCATTGAAAATTTGAACCAATTGCAAGAAAATCATTGCTGGAAAAATATGACCAGAGTGAAAGGGATCTAAATAGTATGTTACAACTGAGTATGCTGTGGAAGGCTTAGCTAAAAAAGTAGGATTGATGGGCTGGGAATGTGGCTTAGTGGTAGAGTACTTGCCCAGCATGCATGAAGCCCTGTTCCATTCCTTAGTACACATAAACAGAAAAAGCCAGAAGTAGTGCTGTGGCTCAGGCAAAACCAGCACAGGGACAGGGCCTGCCCAGGCCTTGAGTTCAAGCCTCAGGACAGGAGAAAGGGGAAAAAAATAGCATTGAATTGTGACAGTTCATGAAAACAAAGTGGTGGTGTGAGATTGCTACATATCCTGCTTGGGAAGCTAGGATTTGGAGAGTTGTTTCTAGCAAGAGGTTAGGGCAGATGGGGTGGTTGCTCTGAGCTTTTAGGTGGTTATGAGCGGGAAGATAGGAGAAGCTGCAGCTATAGTGAGACGATTGTGATTATATTAGGATGATAGTAGCTGGGGAACTGTAAGTAAGAACGGGGACTGGACTCAAGCCAAAGACCCTTTTCTCTATATGCAGTGGTGGATCCATTAGAAAGGGAAGGGTTATAGGGGTCCGTGAGAAGAGCTGAGAAGGGAAACTAAAGACAAAGCGTGAGCCACCTCCCCAGATCAGACTGGTTTTCCTGTCCAGGGTCCAGCTTCCTCTTTTGTCCTCATCTGATATGGGGGGAGGGCATCTCCCCAGGAGCTAAAGGCCAGAGGAGGAGCTTGGCTGCAGCAGGGCCAGGATAGCTGGCTGTCCAGTCATGATAGTGCTAACTCATGAACACTACAGGTTGGGCTAACCATGGTGGCCTAGAAACTTAGAAGCCTAGAGCTCAAACATAGGCTAACCTGCCTCCCTTGGCCCTTTTCACAAACCATGGTAGGGCCCTCTGAATGAAGTCAGAGGGATGGTGGGTCTGTTTCCAGGCCTGGAGTAACACATTTTCTTTGTGGAACTCAAGGTTAGGAGATCCAGGTCCTTGTCCTGGGCTTACGATCAACCGTGTACAATTTACTTTCTCTTGGTTCACTGTCAACATTGAAGAGTTGGATTATCAATACTTCCAAAGTACACAGTGAAAGCTTTGACTTTCCCTTCCCACAAAAGATTCCTAATAACCACCCCCCCTCCCTCTCCACATCTCCCCCCCCCCCACACACACACACCTTCCTTCTCAGTTAACCTTGATCTGCCAGGCCTCTATGTATATGTCAAAGGCAGAACTCTATGGCTCTTTCCCCAAAGCACAAGGATTACTATGAAGTCAGGCAGAGAGTGTTGGGGATTTCACAGGGGACAGCAAGATTGGGGAGTACCCTGTCCCACTGACCGTGGAAAACAGATAGTGGAATTTCCTCCCTGATATTATTTTCCCTTGTGGAAAGCCCCCTCAGTCCTTGGGTAAGCCTAAAGAGACTGGGCAGCCCTGGGTTTCTCTGTGGGTATTTTCGGCTAGCGGGCACAGGATTTGGTAGTCTGTGTAGCCTTGTGTGTAATGAGGAAAGGCAAAGGAGGTGCCACTTCATGGGCCTTTCATGGGGCCCAGGGACTGCTGAGCTGCAGCTAGGGGGGAGGGGGGAGGAGAAGAGCTTTTTTCTTGGTGGTTTGGTGGGGGGAGGGAGGAGGAGTCTTCCCCCGGCTTCCCCAGCCAGTGCTGTCCTGGCCCTGATGCTCCTCACTTTTTGTAGAACACCCAGAGCACTAGGATGGCCAGAGAAAAAGGAAGGGATTCGAGAAAGGATCTCAACTCCCTATATCTTGGTCAGGGACACCTGTTTTGCTTCTTCCTCTCCAGTCCCTAGAGGATGGCATCAACTTCTCTTCCCCTAGTGGCTGCAGTGCAGGATCCTCTGTAGGTACTGAAGGATGGAAAATGGGAACATGTAGTAGAGTCCTGTAATATGAGAACTAAGCTCTCTTGAGTTCTTCCCTGCTTATGAGAAGGGGAAGAAAAGAGAGACTCAGCCCTTGGCCTGGTCCCAGCCCTACACTGACCTCATGTCTCCCCCGGCCGCTTCCTCCTCCCAGTCCAGCTGCAAGCAGCTGCAGCCCCTGTAATTCTCCTTGTGTCACCTCTTCTCTTTCATCCCTTCAAAATAAACAAATTTGTAGAACCTTTCCAAGAGTGTTCTGTCTCTACCCTAAGGGTCTTCAGACATTCTAATCCAAACCTTAGCTTTTTTCCAATCTTCAACCTTAGCTCTGACTCCTTTGCCCCTTATTCTTCAAGCTGAAGACAAAGTAAACTAGCTTACATGTTGTTCAGTATCCTAACTTCATGCTCCTCTGAGTGAGGCAGAAGCTGACAACCTTTGTCCTGTGTCTTTTGGTCATAGAGAATTTCCTTATTCCCAGCTTCAATGTCTGGATTGATGGAAGAAGAAGAGGTGTATGTCAGTCTACAGTTTTTGCTTAGCCCTCTGCTTCGTCCTATGAATTAAAATGACAAACTCTTCTCCCTGTGAAGCATCTAGTTAATTTAGCACAACGATCAGAAGGAAAGGTACGCAGAAGAGAAGGTCATTGTGATGTTTTAGAGGAGAACTGAGCCTTGGAGGGCAGAAAAAAATCTGAAGGGACAATCAGCATTTCAGAAACAGAAACAACCTCGTGTGAAGACAGAGGACTGGTTGAGTTCACCGAGTTTTTTTACTGAGCCCAGCCTATGTGTGCTGGGCTTAGCCCAGGGAGATAGAAATTAGCCTGGACCTTGCCTTCTAGGCTCTCCCAATGGAATGACAGGAGATACGGCTCAGATCAGAGCCCGGAGGCTGAGATCTGAGGATCATAGTTCAAAGCCAGCTAATCAGGAAAGTCTGTGAGACTCTTACCTCCAATTAATACCAGAAAACCAGAAGTGGAGCTGTGGCTCAAAGTGATAGAGCCCTAGCCTTGAATTGAAGAGCTCAGGGACAAGGCCCAGGTCCAGAGTTCAACTGACAAAAACAAAAAAAAACCTAAAAATAAAAAGATTCAGATCAGTCTCCCAAGTGATCCAAGTAAGTACCTGTGAGAGAGAGACAGGCATCAGACATTGGATAGAATAAGTCATGACATGGATAGTTTATAAAAATTTTCCTGGAGCAAGTAGCAGTGGTTTGGTTCTATGAATATTTCTACTTGTGTTTAGGGAAGAGAATATGGAAGCTACCTTGTAGATCAGGATGGTGTGGCCAGAGGTAAGGGTTGGAATGTCTAGAGGTATATTATGGTGAGAATGAGGTTCAGGGAGATCTGCAGAGGAGCTCTATAGTAGGGGCAGATTAGAAGGCTGTAGTAAGTTCCCATGTCATAGAGCCCATCCTCCCCCTCCCCCACTCCCAGTTGGGACACTTCCCCTGCTCTAACCGCCACAGAGATCTGGCAACCAAGAACACTTCAGTGCTTCCTTTTCCTCCTCCCTCTGGGTCTGCCTGGCTACACCCCAGGGCCAGGAGTAAGTAGATGTAAGCTGGGCACCAAGGACCCCACTCTAGTAGTG